GATGAGTCACCGTTACACGATGAGTCACCGTTACACGATGAGTCACCGTTACACGATGAATCACCGTTACACGATGAATCACCGTTACACGATGAGTCACCGTTACACGATGAATCACCGTTACACGATGAATCACCGTTACACGATGAATCACCGTTACACGATGAGTCACCGTTACACGATGATTCACCGTTACACGATGAGTCACCGTTACACGATGAGTCACCGTTACACGATGAGTCACCGTTACACGATGAGTCACCGTTACACGATGAGTCACCGTTACACGATGAATCACCGTTACACGATGAATCACCGTTACACGATGAATCACCGTTACACGATGAATCACCGTTACACGATGAATCACCGTTACACGATGAGTCACCGTTACACGATGAGTCACCGTTACACGATGAGTCACCGTTACACGATGAGTCACCGTTACACGATGAATCACCGTTACACGATGAGTCACCGTTACACGATGAGTCACCGTTACACGATGAGTCACCGTTACACGATGAATCACCGTTACACGATGAGTCACCGTTACACGATGAATCACCGTTACACGATGAGTCACCGTTACACGATGAGTCACCGTTACACGATGAGTCACCGTTACACGATGAATCACCGTTACACGATGAATCACCGTTACACGATGAGTCACCGTTACACGATGAGTCACCGTTACACGATGAGTCACCGTTACACGATGAATCACCGTTACACGATGAATCACCGTTACACGATGAATCACCGTTACACGATGAGTCACCGTTACACGATGAGTCACCGTTACACGATGAGTCACCGTTACACGATGAATCACCGTTACACGATGAATCACCGTTACACGATGAGTCACCGTTACACGATGAATCACCGTTACACGATGAGTCACCGTTACACGATGAGTCACCGTTACACGATGAGTCACCGTTACACGATGAATCACCGTTACACGATGAGTCACCGTTACACGATGAATCACCGTTACACGATGAATCACCGTTACACGATGAGTCACCGTTACACGATGAGTCACCGTTACACGATGAATCACCGTTACACGATGAGTCACCGTTACACGATGAATCACCGTTACACGATGAGTCACCGTTACACGATGAATCACCGTTACACGATGAATCACCGTTACACGATGAGTCACCGTTACACGATGAATCACCGTTACACGATGAGTCACCGTTACACGATGAGTCACCGTTACACGATGAATCACCGTTACACGATGAGTCACCGTTACACGATGAGTCACCGTTACACGATGAATCACCGTTACACGATGAGTCACCGTTACACGATGAATCACCGTTACACGATGAGTCACCGTTACACGATGAGTCACCGTTACACGATGAATCACCGTTACACGATGAGTCACCGTTACACGATGAGTCACCGTTACACGATGAATCACCGTTACACGATGAATCACCGTTACACGATGAGTCACCGTTACACGATGAATCACCGTTACACGATGAATCACCGTTACACGATGAATCACCGTTACACGATGAGTCACCGTTACACGATGAGTCACCGTTACACGATGAATCACCGTTACACGATGAATCACCGTTACACGATGAGTCACCGTTACACGATGAGTCACCGTTACACGATGAATCACCGTTACACGATGAATCACCGTTACACGATGAGTCACCGTTACACGATGAGTCACCGTTACACGATGAATCACCGTTACACGATGAATCACCGTTACACGATGAGTCACCGTTACACGATGAGTCACCGTTACACGATGAGTCACCGTTACACGATGAATCACCGTTACACGATGAATCACCGTTACACGATGAGTCACCGTTACACGATGAGTCACCGTTACACGATGAATCACCGTTACACGATGAGTCACCGTTACACGATGAGTCACCGTTACACGATGAGTCACCGTTACACGATGAGTCACCGTTACACGATGAGTCACCGTTACACGATGAATCACCGTTACACGATGAGTCACCGTTACACGATGAATCACCGTTACACGATGAATCACCGAACACGATGAATCACCGTTACACGATGAATCACCGTTACACGATGAATCACCGTTACACGATGAGTCACCGTTACACGATGAATCACCGTTACACGATGAGTCACCGTTACACGATGAGTCACCGTTACACGATGAATCATCGTTACACGATGAGTCACCGTTACACGATGAGTCACCGTTACACGATGAGTCACCGTTACACGATGAATCACCGTTACACGATGAATCACCGTTACACGATGAGTCACCGTTACACGATGAATCACCGTTACACGATGAATCACCGTTACACGATGAATCACCGTTACACGATGAGTCACCGTTACACGATGAGTCAACGTTACACGATGAATCACCGTTACACGATGAATCACCGTTACACGATGAGTCACCGTTACACGATGAGTCACCGTTACACGATGAATCACCGTTACACGATGAATCACCGTTACACGATGAGTCACCGTTACACGATGAGTCACCGTTACACGATGAATCACCGTTACACGATGAATCACCGTTACACGATGAGTCACCGTTACACGATGAGTCACCGTTACACGATGAGTCACCGTTACACGATGAGTCACCGTTACATGATGAATCACCGTTACACGATGAATCACCGTTACACGATGAGTCACCGTTACACGATGAGTCACCGTTACACGATGAATCACCGTTACACGATGAGTCACCGTTACACGATGAGTCACCGTTACACGATGAGTCACCGTTACACGATGAGTCACCGTTACACGATGAGTCACCGTTACACGATGAATCACCGTTACACGATGAATCACCGTTACACGATGAGTCACCGTTACACGATGAATCACCGTTACACGATGAATCACCGAACACGATGAATCACCGTTACACGATGAATCACCGTTACACGATGAATCACCGTTACACGATGAGTCACCGTTACACGATGAATCACCGTTACACGATGAGTCACCGTTACACGATGAATCACCGTTACACGATGAATCACCGTTACACGATGAGTCACCGTTACACGATGAATCACCGTTACACGATGAATCACCGTTACACGATGAATCACCGTTACACGATGAATCACCGTTACACGATGAGTCACCGTTACACGATGAGTCACCGTTACACGATGAGTCACCGTTACACGATGAATCACCGTTACACGATGAATCACCGTTACACGATGAATCACCGTTACACGATGAGTCACCGTTACACGATGAATCACCGTTACACGATGAATCACCGTTACACGATGAGTCACCGTTACACGATGAATCACCGTTACACGATGAATCACCGTTACACGATGAGTCACCGTTACACGATGAGTCACCGTTACACGATGAATCACCGTTACACGATGAGTCACCGTTACACGATGAATCACCGTTACACGATGAGTCACCGTTACACGATGAATCACCGTTACACGATGAATCACCGTTACACGATGAGTCACCGTTACACGATGAATCACCGTTACACGATGATTTACCGAACACGATGAATCACCGAACACGATGAATCACCGAACACGATGAATCACCGAACACGATGATCACCGAACACGATGTGCAACATCCTGAACAGCAAGCATCACCGCGTATGGACTCGCTTCATCCTTGTCAGCTTTTACACGCATTCCACCAGTAATTTTCACAATAGTTTCGCGTCCAGAAAGATCAGTGACATGTACGAAAGTACCGTTGTTGTGTCCAACTTAAGAGGCTAGAAAAAGAAAAAAATTATTTTTAGTAAAACTTATCGAAAATATTTTTAGAGTGATTTCCCAGCCCTACATTTATCTATCGAACAGAATATGCGACAATTGAAAGAAGTTTTCACTTTGGTGTAGTGGGATAGTGCTCACTCTAAAAATGGAGAGGGTTCGAACCCGTTTAGTAGGAAATATTTTATAATCTCCGACGACAAAATTCACCCACACTAAGTTACAACTATGGTCTAGTGGGATATTTTTACTCTATTGTGGAGAATGAGCAAGGTTCGAATCCCTTCAACGGTAAATCTTTTTTTATCATATCCTACTTTCAATTCTCGCATATTCTACAACCCAATCAGAATAAAAAAATTTTTTGAACCTTTTTAATGACATTAGTAAAAAGACTGTTCAACTTCTTGTTCTTCTCTCTTAAAAAAAATAAATTTTGAATCATAAAAGATAAAATTAAAAACCTTTTCGACCAAGGAAACACATTCCCTAAAGTAGAGCCAAACATTAATTTTGCACACTAGAAATGAAGAAAAAATAAAATATAGCAAATATAAAAACGAAAATTCGTAAATTGATTTTTAAAAAATTAATTTAAATATTTATTTATTAAAAAATAATAATAAAATGACTTCAACAGTCACGGGGGTAAAAACAAAAAAGAAAAGAAAAAATTTCAAAAAAATTTTTTTTAAATTTAAATTAATTTTTTGCCCTTTTACGCCTTCTAATAATTTCATCAAAATCAGGCAAATCTCCTCTTTTTGCCATTCTTTCAGGATCTTTTTAAAATTAGAAAAAAATTCATTTCCTTCAAATAATCAAAAAAACCTCTCAATTCCAATTTACAATTTGGACCCAAATATCCAGGTAAACACTGACATTTTCCATCTATTGGGTTACACCTTGCTCCATTATAGCATTCACATTGTTGGTTACAATTCTGGCCAAATTGGCCTTCTGGACAGTCTAAAAACTAAAATTTTTCCTTCCTAAATTTCAAAAAAAAACCTTCCAAGCATTCCTTTCCAAATTTCCCCATAGGGCAGATACACTCTCCAGTAATTGGATTACATCCATACCCAGCACATTCACAGGATAAAGAACATAAAGGACCATAAAAACCAAAAGGACAATGATTCTCGCACTGGAAAAAGAAAAAAAAATTTTTATCAAGGGCCTTAAAAAATTTTTCAAAAATTTTTAAAAATCTTAGGCCTCAAAAAATTTTTCAAAAATTTTTAAAAATCTAGGGCCTCAGAAAATTTTTCAAAAATTTTTAAAAATCTAAGGCCTCAAAAAATTAATAAGGGTACTCCAGAAAAATTCTACACAAAATTATTTTTCATCTCTAAAAGTCACAAACCTTTTCTCCAGAAAATCCTGGTGGACATAAACATTCTCCCGTTAAAATATTACAATTAGCTCCATTTTGACACAAACAGGTTTGAGAACAGTGTAAACCAAATCTTCCTTGAGGGCATTCTTTAAAAAATTAAAAAAAAATTTTTTACAAACTCAAAAAGACAAACCAAATTGGCATCTTGAACCATGCCGTCCCTTAAAAAATATTTTTAAAAATTTTTTTAATAAAATTAAACCGATGGACAATTACAACAACCACTTGAAGGATTACAACTAGCTCCATTGCAGTCACACTCAAGTGAACAATTAAACCCATAATGTCCTTGAGGGCATTCAACAAGACATGTCGGTCCCATAAAGCCAGGCCTAAAAAAGAAAAAAAATATTTTTTTGAATTAATTTTTTTGCGGACAACATGGATATTTGCGGATAAAAGGGATAAAATGAAGCATTAACCTAAAAATAATTATCTGAAACTTTATTGTTCTGATTTTACTCATAAAAGTTCACCAGGTTCACAAACACTTGTTCGGACTCGTAATTAACCATAGACCCACGAAAGGTTCATTGGACTCATAAACTAGACCATAGCCAAAAAATTCGGTAGTCCGCAAATATAATCCCGCATTTCCCCATTCATAAAATTATCAAAAAAAAATTTTTTTTTAATTTACCGACCTACAAAAACAATTTCCATTTATTGGATCACATTTAGACCCATCAGCACATTGACATTTATCCCTACATTTATGTCCAAACCGGCCAGGAGGGCATAATTCAGAACATTTACTTCCTGTAAAGCCTGGTAGACAAAAGCATTCTCCACTTTTTTGGTCACATTTCCCTCCGTTTTGGCACACACAAAAATTTGAACAACTTGGAAAATATTTAAGTTTTATTTAAAAAAAAATAAAAGAACCTAGGTCCATAACGATTTTCTGGACAAGAAAATTCACAATGAGGACCAATAAAGCCAGGTGGGCATAAACACTCTCCAGTCTCTATATTACAATTTGCACCATTTTGACAGTCACATTTTTCTGAACATCCAATGCCAAAAAGTCCTTGAACACAACCTTAAAAACAAAACATTTTTTGAAAATGTGGCCTTATTGAACAGGGATGGGTTGGGTTACTCAAAATCTCGACTTCATTGGTAACAAACCCCGATTCGAAAAAATTTTCAAAACTAGACCTCCTTAATCCATCTAACTGACCCTTACTGAATAACTAAAAGATACCCTAGAAAAGACTGATCCAACTCCTCCCTGTTATAAAAGCTCATGTCAGTTTTATGACAAGGTTAACTCAAAAATTAAAAAAAATCAAAATTTCCCTTACTCTGTTCACATTGAACATCATCAGAATAATATCCAGCTTTACAAAAACATTTTCCATTGAAAGGATCACATTCTTGGTTTGGTAATTTGCAATTGCATTTTTGGGAACATTCTACTCCAAAGGTACCAGGAGGGCATTTCTAATTAAAAATTAATTTTAAAATAAAAAACTCAAAAGAAACCTCGACACATTGAAGACCTTTAAATCCTGAAGGGCATTCACATTGTCCAGTTACATGGTCACAAGAAGCTTCCAAGCCTGGACATTTACACAATTGTGCACAATCTTGGCCATAAAATCCTTTTGTACAGGCTAAAAATTAAAAAAAAATTTTTAAACAATTTAAAGTAAAAAAACCTTTGTTGCACTTTTTCCCTCTCCATCCAGGTGCACATTGACAGTGACCACTTATATGATTACAAACTCCACCGTTTTGACACTGACAAGTTTGGGAACAATTTGAACCAAAAGTACCTTCTTCACATTGTTTGTCACATCTAAAACAAATTTTTAGAGTTCTTGTCTTTTTCACAAGTCAGCAAGAAAATTAAAAAAAATTGCGGACCAAAAGTTGCGGACATTCATGAATTAACCAAAAAAGAACATTAAATAACCTTCTTCCAGTCCATCCAGGTAAACAAAAACACTCTCCATTTGTATGATTACAACTTGCACCATTTTTACAATCACATTTATCATTGCAACCAGTACCAAAAAGACCAAAAGGGCAGGCTAAAAATGTGAAATTTGAAAAAAACCTCAATCAAACTAACGAAATTCGCATCCTTTTCCAGTCCATCCAGAAGTACATGAGCACTCTCCAGTTTGAGAATTACATTTTCCTCCGTTTGCACAAAGACAATGTTCAAGACAATTTGGCCCATACAAATCAGAAGGGCATTCTAATAAAGAAAAAAAAATTTTTGAACTTGCGGACAATAAAGTTGCGGACAAAAAAAATTTTTTTAATCAAACCAAATTCACAATTTCGTCCCATCCATCCAGCAGAGCACTCACAAAAACCAGTAACAGGATTACATTTTCCTCCTCCTCCATTTGATGAGCAATTACACAGTTCAGAACATCCAGGTCCCCATCTTCCCAAAGGACAACTTTCATTGCATAATTGGCCAGTCAATCCTGGAGGACATTGACACTCTCCTGTTACATGGTGACATCTATAAAAATAATAGGAGCGCGTCATAATGGAAAAATGTTGAAATGCCAAACACCTAAAAAGCGCTGAAACGCCAAACAGTCGACGTTTGGTATTTCACGTTTTGGCGTTATAATAGCATGCCAAAATGTTTAAAAATTTTTAAAAATTCAAACCTTATATCATCAACATCTCCTCTGTCTCCTCCTTCTACACCACAATTGCATTTATTCCCACATTTTTCACCAAAAGTTCCAGAAGGACATGTACGCTCGCAATGTTCACCCCACCATCCCGGTGCACATTTACATTCTCCTGTTGCTGAATTACACGTAGCCCCGTTTTGGCAAGCACAAGTACCAGTACATTGAATGCCAAATTTGTCATTTGGGCATTCTGTCGGTTGGACATTTTGAAAAAATTTTTTTCAATTCTATTTTACCTTGTTCACAACGTTTCCCATAAAAACCAGGCGGGCAAATACAGTCACCATCAATTGGATTACAATTATCTGTGCCTAGATGAAGTAGAGATGATTGCTGTTGTTGTTCATATTGATGCCCTTCTAAAATTTTTTTTTCAAAAAAATTATTTTTAATTAAATCAGCAACCTTCCATTTTGTATTCCAAATGACTTGAACTATTCATTGAAACTTCACAATCGCAAATTTCCATACAATTAATACCAAAAGTACCACGAGGACAGAGATGTTCACAAAATTTGCCATGAAAGCCTTTAGAAAGAATTTTTTTTGAGAATTTTCAAAAAATAAAAAAAAACCTGCTGGACATAAACAACTTCCATCATTAGAATCACAATGTGCGCCATTTTGACATTCACAAATATTTTTACAATTTTGACCAAAACGGCCTGGTGGGCATTCTACAAAGAATTTTAAAAATAATTTTGGAAATTCGAAAATTTCGAAATAAAAAAATCAAATAAAAAAAAACAAACAAACTTTCACTACATTTAGGCCCATAAAAACCATCTTTACAAAAACATGTTCCATTTAAAGATTCACATCTAGTTGCTCCATTTTCACACAAACAATCAAAATTGCAATTGGGTCCATATTTTCCATCAGGACAATTTATTTGTAAACAAATACCACTGACGGGATGACAAAGATTTTCCTCATTATCAAAACATTTACAATCCAGAGAACAATTATTTCCATATTTTCCAATTGGACAAACTGTCAAAAAAATTTTTAAATTAAAAAAAATTTTTTAATCACAAACCTTTTTCACAATTTTCACCAAAATAGCCCGGTTGACATTTTGAAACAATTTCAAATTCAGAATCTAAGCAAACACCATTTTTTGAATCACAATTTCTTCGAGGACACATATTACATTCTTGAGAACAATTATCCCCAAAAAATCCAAAATGACATCTTTGATGGCAATAAATACCTTGGAAACCAGGAAGGCACTGACAAGAACCAGTCTAAAAATATTAAAAAAAAATATTTTTATTAAAAAAATAATTTTTTCTTCCTGGTCCTAATAGTCCGCAAAATTTATCTGCAAAATGTCAAATTTCGCCTTGTGAAGAAAAATGTTATCGCGCCCTTTAATGTAAGATATCCAGTGGGAAAAAATTTTCTGTTCCCCTAGAAAAAAAATCATAGAAATCCGATTTTTCATTTTATGGAGATTTGAGGATAAATTTGCGGAAACCTTCGTATTCATTTTAAAATAAAAAATATTTTTACTTTTGTATCACATTTTTGAGTTCCCTCACGAGAACAACGACAAGACATTTGGCAGTTCTTTCCATATGTCCAATCAGGACAAGGCAAATCACATTTGTCACCAAAATATCCATCAGGACAAAGACAAATTCCTTTAAAATATCCCTTAATTTAAAAGAATAAACAACACAGCAGATCAAAATAGGCAAAGGCTGTTACTCGCCTTTCAGTGCGGGAATATGGCTTAGTTGGATAGAGCGCCCACTTTAAAGCGAAGTATGTGTAAGGTTCGAACCCTTCCAGTGAAAATGGATTATATATTAGGGAAATCCTAATAATATCATTTCTAAATAACATTTAATATCATTTTAAACTAAAATAAATTTTTTCAAAATAATTTTTTCCTGTATTTTTCATTTTCTAAGGTCGGTTTGTTCGGCCATTTAAAACTTTTTTTAAACGTTTAAAAAATCAATGAAATTGGTTTTAAAACAAAGATAAGACTTTGTTTAACGATTTGACTAAGATGAAATATTTTTTCCTAAGTTTTTTTTCGAGATAAAGCTTTTCGAAGTTGGACATCAAATCTTTAGAGAAATAGCACGCCAAAGAAATAGAGCGGAAAAGAAAAAGATACAGTATTTTTATTTATTTGAGTGCCACTGAAACGGCTTAAAGTAACAGGCTGATCTGCTGTGAACAAATAACCTAAATATCTATCACAACTTCCATCTCTACAATTTTGTTTACATATTGAAGAACAATTTGGACCGAAATATCCTTGAAATTACGAAAAAATTAATTATATAAAGGACCGAAATGCCCATTTTCAAAGGCTATTTTCGCATAACTATTAAATATTTCTATCAGACTTGGGAAGAAAAGTCCACGCAAAAAACTTTGCAAAATTCAGCAGAGAAAATCCGAAAAAATTCAAAAAAAAGTACCCCTTTTTTCTAAAAAATTAGCCCTTTTACCCCGTTTTTTCTAGAAAATTTATTTAAAAACAAACCTTTTAAACAATTTTCATCTTCACACTTTGTTGTTCCATTTAAACACAAACATTCACCAGTAATAGAATTACAATTAGCTCCTCCACATTGACAATATTGTGAACATTCAATACCAAAAGTTCCTTCCAAACAGGGTAATTCACATAATTGGCCTTGCCATCCAGGCATACATTCACATTTATTTCTCAAATAATTACAACCCCCACCATTTTTACAATCAGAACAAGAATATTCACAATCTGGACCGAAACGGCCAAATGTGCAGGCTGTTGATATGGACATTTCTGCTTCTGCTAAAATGAAATTTGACATTATGAAATTGGGTCGGAAGAGTCTCGACAGTTGAGTACAAGAGGTTGTTCTGGCTAGACTCAACTGGCATACTCAACAGGCGAGTTGCGCAAAGAGAACAGAATTTTGAAAAACCGGGTCCAGGAAAATGGTTCTGTAAGTTGACCGGGATGGATCCGGACCGGGAAAACCGGGAACCGGAATTCAAAAAAACCGAAAAAAGGGACCCGAAAACCGGAACCGGGCCCTTTCCGATCTCTAGTTCCGCAAGGTCTAGTCATTTTAAAAATTCGATATTTGAACATTAAAATTTTTTTGAACATTTTCGAATTTCAAAAACCAGAAAAAAATTTCAGACCCCCCCCCTCCCACCTTAATTAATTAAAAACCACAACAAGACAACAAACAAATAAAACCAAAAACCACTAATATAAACAAAACCTTTTTCCTTATTATTGTTTAAAATAGGCAATATAGAATGTTGTTTTGTCTCATAGTGTTGTGCTATTCCTCTAATTTTAAGACGTTCGGGTTGTAAACTTTTTTGTTGTTGTTCTGTCTTTTCAAAAAGTGGGGGTAGAGAGTCAATAGTAAATTGTTGTTGTTTAGCAAAAATAAATGGTGAAGCTGAAATGTTTTCTTTTAAAATTGAAACAAACATGTTTTACAAACCACAAAACACAGAAAGTGAATTGTAAAAAAATAAACTTGTTTTTAAACATTTAAAAACTTGAAAAAATAAACTTGTTTGAACAACACTAAAACAAGTTTATTTAAAACATTGTGATTTCAAGTTTTGTAAAAATAAACTTGTTTCTAAGCAATTGTAAAACAAGTTCATAAAATAATAAACTTGTTCGATCGAGTTAATTTGTAAAAACAAACATGATTGTAAAAATTAGCGAAAATTAAACTTGTTTTAATACAATTTGTTTTTAAAAAAGTTTATTTTTTCTCAACAACACAAAAACAAGTTTATTTAAAACATATGAGAATTTCAAGTTTATTTAAAAATAAACTTGTTTTTAAACAATTTGTAAAACAAGTTTATTTTTTTATTTCATATAAAAACATTGTAATTGTTTTTAATAAAAATAAAAATTACCCAGTCTATTAGGTTCACAACTATATCCATCTTCACCAAGTTGATAACCTTCAGGACAAACACAATAATAATTTCCATAAGTATTTTCACAATTAAAAGAACATAGAGGCGACTCATTTTCAATACATTCATTAATATCTTTAAAATAATTTTTTTTATTTTTTCAAAAAAATTTTTTTTCTCTTACCAACACAACTAAATTGGTCTTCAGCTAATTTAAAACCTGGATAACATTGACATTTAGCTTTGCCATTTCCAGCATTTAAACAAAAATGTTGACAACGATTTTCCTCCATTGAACAGGGATTTTCAACTGAAGAAAAAATAAATTAAAAAAAAATTTTTTTGTCCGCAAATATTTTTGCGGACTTTTTGTCCGCAAATTTTTTGTCCGCAAATTCAATCCGAAAAAAATTTTTAAAAATAAAATTTCTCCTCACCAAAACAACTCTTTCTATCCTCTCCCAATTTATATCCTTTCCGGCATCTACATCTCCAAAAACTTGAATCACTTGTCCTTTCTTCACAAATTTGTTCACAACCTCCATTTTGATTTTTACAAGAATTTTCTTTAATACAATCACGTCCATTTGGTGCTAATTGCATTGGGAATGGGCATTGACAGAGATAACCACCTTTTGTATTTATACATTTAAATTGACAGCCACCATTAGATATTGAACATTCATCTACATCTAAAGAATAGAATTTGAGAATCCGCAAAAAATTTTTTTGTCCGCAAAAAATGTTTGCGGATAAATAAATCGTCCGCAAAATTTGAGAATCCGCAAAAATTTTTTTTGTCCGCAAAAATCTTGCGGACAGGAAAATTTGTCCGCAAAGAATTTTTGTCCGCAAGAAATTTTTGCGGACAAAAAAAACTGTCGCAAAATTTGAGAATCCGCAAAAAAATTTTTTTTGTCCGCAAAAATCTTGCGGACAGAAAAATTTTGTCCGCAAAATAAAAGACAAAATTTTTTTCTTTTAAAAAATTCTAAAAAAAATACCAATACAATTAACACCATTTTCAGCCAATTCAAATCCACTATAACATTTGCAATAAAAACTGCCCACAATATTTACACATTCATGTTCACAACCTCCATTGCCTGCCAAACATTCATTTACATCTTTTATTTAAAAATTTTTTTTAAAATTTAAAATTAAAAAAAACCAAATTGACAAGTAGACCCATCAAATCCTGTAGGGCATTGACATAGTTTGTTGTTAAAATTTCCTTCCAATTCATTTTCTGACAAACAAACACCTCCATTTTCACATAATTGTGGAGTACAATTAGCTGAAATAAAGACAAATTTTAATAAAAAAATTTTCTAAATTTAATTTCGGCCCAAGTCTAATTTATGAGTTAAATGAAGAATTGTATGTCCAATTAAATCCAAAAATGTCAATACGATCCAAAAAAGCTCTGAAACAAAAAGAAAAGCACGTCAATTTTTCAATATTTATGGGTCGGTTTCTGAAAATCCCTAATTCAAATTCAACTCATGGTTCCCAAAAATAAGGAATTCCCGACATTCGTGGGCAAGGAATAAGGTTGTCGGATAGTTGGAAATCTTCGGATATTCGGATCCGATATCAGAACCGAGAATTTCCAAATATCCGGTCTTTTTTCGGATCTGCACCTTACTTATTGTTAGTAAAAAAACCCAGATTCCTGTAAATTGGAATTTGTTTTTTATGTCAACAACTTCCATCGGACTCCTAAAATTAGACTCATTCAACCCTCTCTTAATCCCCAGCAATATTTTCTTCAAAAAAACCTCTTAAACATCCATCTTCTCCTTCCAAGTGTATCCAACCAGGACAACATTCAGGTATCAATTCACGACGCTTTCTTGTTGAATTTGTTGTTGAGTGAAAATAGAATGTTCTGAAAAATAAGAAATAGAAAAGTTTCTTTAAATTAAAAAAATCAGAAATTAAAAAAAATTCAGAAAATCAGAACCCCCCCTCCTCCCCCAATTTTTTAAACAATTATTTCTTCATGATTTAACACACAAAAATTACATTTTTTTTCTGACTTGTAAAAGTTGTATATAAAAAAGTTATGTATTTTTTGTCCTTTTCAATCATGTTTCTTTTTTTATATCCCCCAAAAAGAAATTATTATTAAGTCGGCAAAATTTAGTGGAATGAAGCGAAATAATATTTTCATGTAAATATACAATCTTGTCGTTTTTTTTTGTATTTTGATAAATCCAGGAGATCAACAAGAAAGCGAAATACTAAAAAAAGCGAATAGCAAAATTGGCACCAAAGCTGGCGAAACAAAAAATCTTCGAACGTCGAAAATCGAAATTTCGGCGCTGCTTTGGCTGACACACTCAAAAACCACGGAGGGGATATTGGTAAGAAAGGAATTTATTGTATCGAACTTAGAACCGCTATTAAACTACCTATCAATAAACTTAAATTGTGATCAACTGGGTGAAATCCCATTTTTATATTATAATTTATTATTTGGCTATATCCCCTATAAAACAGGCATTTTTCCCTTTTTTTCTCATCATCAAATAAAAATAATAATCGCGCCATGATTGTCACCCAATTGTCTCTAAAGTGTACATTTTCACAGCATCCTATTTTTCAGTTTTTTACTACATACCCGCAGCTATGTTTGGGAGAACGGAAAGTGAAGGGTCATACAAACCCCGCCGAACGATAAAAAAATAATAATAATCTCGTGAAAGGGCAAGGTCAAGTAAAAAAATTATGTAAAATTGATAGGATATGAGAGGGGATCTGACTTAAAAAGATGATCAAAAAAAGGTGGAAGAACAACGGGAAACGGAGGGATTAACTCAAAAATTCCTCCCCTCCCCTTCTAAAAAATTCTGATTTTTCAATAAAAAACAAAAAAATCAAACTTAGGGACACGAATTGCACACCCAGCAGAATTAGTTCCATAGTGACAATTTCTAGCCTTTCTTGTCCGTACGTATCGAGTAAGTGCACGCATACATGGCCTTCGAACTGTTTGAATTTGTAATTCTTCGTGTGGACAAACATTCCTTCTGAAAAAATAAATATTGGTTTTATTTAACTAAAGCATGTTTTTATAAATTAAATAGCCTTGTTCTGCAACTTTAAAGATGTTTTACAAACTTGATATTAAAATTAAAAAAAAACTTTCCAGCCTTAAAATAAACTTGTTTTACAACTAATTAAACTTGTTTTACAAATGTAATGTTAGTTTAGAAACTTCCATTTTTAAATATAAACTTTTTTTACAATTCGAACATGTTTTTACAAACTCAAATCTTTTACTTACACAAAGCAAAGTTTACAAACTTATTATTTTTCTCTCTTTATAATACCAAACATTATTTAAAATCAACAAAACACAACACCCTTAAGAGAGAAAAAAAAACATTAAAAAGCCACACCTTTACTTCTTCCTCATTTAAAGTTTTACCCTTCCGGAATCGGCTGGTAAAAAGGATTGTTTTTGCTTGTCTATTTGTTTGTTTGCTAAAATGTTATTTATCTCTTTCTACCACACACACAAAAATGTTTGTTTGTTTATTTAAATATTCCCATTTTCTTGGCTATTTTACAATTAAAATTTTAAAGCTTTTAATAAAAAAAGTTTTAATTTTTAAATATAAAATGAGAGAGAAGAGGATAATGGAAGAGCAGAGGTGGGTCGGAACAGTCCGAAGTGTCAGAAATCGGAAGGAAAAAAAGTCGAAAATCGGAAGTCGGAATTCCGACACACCTGTGAATGGGAGAGAAGCCAGAAAAAAAAATAATTTTTTTCTAACCATTCACCATCTTCAATACTTAATTTCTTTTTTTTCTCGAAATAATCCCTTAATTCTCTCGACTTTAAAAAAAATTTTTTCCTTCTATCCGTCACCTTTCCCGATTTTTTTATCTTTCACTAAAATCAACTAGTTAATAGCACCTTTTTCTCCTTAATTTTCTTTATATTCCTCACAAATCATTGCGCAACATTTTTTCTTGCCGAAAAATTAAAAAAGGAAATGACAATTTATACTATAAAATCTCCCACCCTTCCGCCATTTTTGGCACCTATTTTAGAAGCGTTATTTTTCACACTATCACCATCAATAAAAATACAACACAAAAAAATTTCACAAAAATAGCAACAACAATATAAAAATAATTTTTATTAATTTATGCACACATATGTTGTTTTTCCCTCTCTAAAATTCAAAAACCTATCCAAATATATAAAAAATTTAAATAATATAATTCTTTAATCTCTCTCCCTTCTTTCTAACCTTACCATAAAAATTTCTAGCCTTATTCTAACCTTATTCATAACCTTATAAATAGGGTTGGAATTTTCGAGACGGGTCGGATTTTCGACGTTCAAGTCGGCCCGACGTTCGAGTTATTATTATCGGGCCGATCCGACCGAGTCTTTTTCGGGCCAAAATTCGAAGCCCGACTCGATCTTTCGAACCGGACCGGAATGGGTCCTCATCCCTCTTATAAAAATTAAAAAAATTTTTTCCGTCTTTTCCCCTTTGCTTTATTCTGACCCCTCTCCTTTCCTTAATACTTGGCTTTTCCTTAATTTTTCTCTTTTCCTCTTTTCAAAAATAATAACAATAAAATACAAAAAAACAATTTTTTTCTTTTGTAAAAATTTTTTGCCACTTTTCCTACAACAAAACATAACTCTTTCTAGTCCCCTCCTATTTTTGTTCAATTTTTGGTCCTATTTATTATTATTTTTTTGTTATTATTCATTTATGTATTCTAAATTAGCCTTAAATTAATCGAACAATTTTTTTTTACTATTCTAAAAGGGAAAAATAAAAAAAAGAGAAAAATAATAACATAATAAAATAAAAAAATTTTTTTATTTTTTGGCTAAAATATTTTAAAAAACACTCTAGGGTTCAAAATGGAAAATTTCGAAAATCCCCAAAAATATAAAATCCCTTAAATATCCTCAAAAAATACTCTTAAATTTTCCCCAATATTTTTCTATTCAATAAACTCATCTCAACATTACAACAACAAAACCCCCAATTCTACAAACTTTAAAGAAAAAATAAGAGGGAAAAAGGCTTTGATCTGATTTTTTAATTGGAAAAAGAGGGGGACAAATTGTCCTTCTTTTTATAAAAGGAAAAAATATATAAATTGTTTTTTTGTAATTTGATTGACGGAAATTAAAAAAATATCGGAAATAGAATATTGGAAAATCAAAAAAAAATGTAAAAAAAATTAAAAAAACATGTAAAGGAGGGACAATAATGTCCCGAAATTGGGCTTTTGTTCCGAAAAAGTAAAAAAATATAACTAAAAAAAGACCCAACTTGGCCCTATTTAAAAAATAACCCGAATTAGCCCCTTGTCCCCAATATGTCCAAATTGTCCTTGTCAAAATTCAAAATTTCCCCTTGTCCCCAATATAACCGCCAAAAATTCAAAAAACTTGCAGAAAAATTTAAAAATATAGAGAGGACAATAATGTCTCAACTTATTGTTAGCCACAAAACCAATAAACCCCAAAAAATAAAAAATAAAAAAACTAACTGTCCAAGTCTCAATTTAGAAGCATTCCTTTCCAAAGCAATTTCTCCTAATTTTGTTGAACCATCAAAAATTTGAAGAAAAATAAAATAAATAGTAGTAATAAATCCAAGATGCATTGTTGTTGAAAGCCTGATGAAAAAAATTTTTTTTTAATTATTAAAATAATTTAAATAAAAAAATTTAATAGAATTCTGAATTAAAAAAAATCCAAACTTTAAAATTAAAAAAAATTTTGAGCTAAAAAGAGTACAGGCTAAACTAGAAAAATTTTTTTTTAATTATATATATATAATAGTTTTGAGTTTCGTGCAAAAAAAATTAAGGCCAGTTTATTCTAAAATAAATAGAAAAATTTTTTTGCAAGATTTTACGTTAAAAAAGGTCAAGCTATACTTAAAAATATCTCCAAAAATTTTTTTTAAAAATTAAAAAAAATGTTTTTTCCTCACTTTAGAAAACCCCCTCAAAACTTAAAAAATTTTTCAGTTCAAAAACCCCCTCAAACTTAGAAAAAAAGATTTTCTCTTTTTAAAAGCCATTTTTGTACACTACTACTATATTTAATTTAAAATTTATTTTTAAGAAGATTGAAGGAAATGAGTAAATAAATTTATCTTTGGTGGAAGTCCTTCATCCCCTCCCCTCTACCTACCCATAGGGGAATTGACCACACCACAAAAAGAAAATTAATAGCAAGTAAAAATGAATGAGGAGGGTGTAATGGAATTAAAAAAAATGAGGAAAGTCAAATGCTTTAAAACAATTGAAGGAATGTCCATTTTAGTGTGAAAAAAAGGAAGATTAAAAAAATAATATATTCTTTACGTTAGTTTTCATTACGAATAATCTTCATTACCCTTAAAAACAAAAAAAAAGTAAAAAACAATTCAAACCCTAAGAAGAAAAAAAATCCTAAAAAAAGAAAAATCCTAGAAAATCGTAGAAGAATCGTAAAAATAAGTCATAGAAAAAAAATAACAGGAGAAAAATATCCTAGGAAGAAAGGAAAAAATCTTAAGAAGGAAAAATCCTGGAAAGAAGAAAATCAGATGAAGAAAAAATCTTAAAAGAATCCTAGAAGAAAAATCCTAAAAAAAGAATCCTAAGAAATCGTAGAAGAATCAAAAAAGAAAAAATTGTAGAGAAAAAAATACCAGGAGAAAAAAATACCCTAGGAAGAAAGAAAAAGATTTTAAGAAGAAAGAATCCTGGAAAAAAGAAAATCCTAAAAAGAAAAAAATCCAAGCAAAAAAATTCTAAAAAAAAAGAAAATTAAAAATAGACAAAATCTTCAAGTAATAAACAAAAAGAGAAGAAAAATAACAATAAAAAAATTTTAAAATAAAATTTTAACGTCAAATTAAAATTTCATTAAAAATATATTTACACTTTTAAAATAAACTTTTCTTGACCACACAAAAAGCTTTTTTTGTGTGGTCAATCACCTCACCTAATTTCCCCAAACAATTTTAAAAAGCTTTTGCTATTGTTTGTCCCTCTAATTTATCAATTTTCAACACTAATGAACTTTTTTTATAAAAGAAAATGACCCACACAAAGCATCATATATAACTTAACTTCCCCCACTTTTTACTTATTATTGGATTAAGTTTCTCTTTTATTTTTAGTTGGTAGGTGGAAAATTATAAAATAAAAATATTGGAAAAATTTGAAAGAATTTAATAAAAAAAAAGAAAAAAGAATAAAAAAAAAGTAAATCACAAAAAGAAAAAAATGTTCTAGAAAATAAAAACCTCAAGTCAAACCCGGTCAGATAAACAGTCCAAGTCAAGCTCACATTTCTGGTTCGAAAAAATAATATCAGAAGGGAAGAGAGTCACGGTCAGATAAAAAGTCCAAGGCAAGCTCACATATCTGGTCTTAAAAATAGTACGATCCTTTAGGACCAGATTGTGAAAAAAAATTCAGAAAATAAAAATATCAGAAGGGAAAGATCTAAATGCCAGCAATTTAATCCGGGAAAGAGTTGAATGACATTTGATCCCAAAAAAGAAAAACACAAAGTTAATTAGAAAACTCGAAAAATCGCTTCAAATAAGTCTTCCTAAAATTCAGCCCGACTCAAAAACGGCAACCCTAATCCTTAAAAATAAAAAAAAACCTAAAGGAATGATATCGAAAAAAAACTAATAAAAAGTGGACATTAAGCTGTCCACCACCACCAAAAAAAGAAGATGAGAGATATATGAATGACATTCCCTCCCTTCACTATTCCCTTCCCTCAATTCCTTTTCACCTCCCGTGGTGCATCCCCATCCCTTTTTTTCTTCAAAAGGCGGAGCAAGGTAGGGCGGTATTTAATAAAATATATATAAAATGCTAATCTATTAAGATGAAAAAAAGGTAGAAAAAATTATAAAAAAAGTAATAATACTAAAAATAATTAAAAAATAGTTGTGAGAGAAAAGTCAAGTTTAGGCCTGTCTTAAAGAAAGCACAAAATTCTAAACAAAAAACAGAAATTTTTGAAGAATTTGAAAATTCTAAATAGGCTTAAGAAAAGAATTTGCAAGAGGAAGAGTGTCACATCAAACCTAGGTTAAAGAAAAATGAACAACTTAAAGAAATTCCAATCACAAATAAAAATCAGAATTTGAAAAAAATAAAAATTTAAAAAAATGGGAGAGGAGAGATGTGAATGACAATTTATCCCAGAAAAAGCAAGTTTGGAAAATAAAAATTTAAAAAAATTGCAGGGCACAGATTTGAATGACAAATGATCCCACTACATAAATACAAAAATAAAAGGAAGATATTATAAACATAGAAAATATACAAAAAAACCGAGAAAAATAGTAATACCCTAATTAAAAACCCCAAAAATTAATTAAGAACCTCAAAGTTTTAAGATTAAATACTTAAAAATAAAAATTCTCATTTTGCAAAAATTTTCGAAAATAAAAACAAAACTAACCTAAACCAATGCCTCCCTCTCTTCCCTCATTTCCATTTTCGCTCATTTTGTAGTAGTAGTCGGATTTCCTGTCAAGGGTCAATGGCCAAACATAGAAGAAAATATGATGAACGGATGCCGAGAATTTTTATTTTCTTTTCTTCTCCTCTTCAAAACATGCCCCATACCAATTTATTCATTCCTCTCATTATTTGCTTGTTTTCCCTTCCTTCATTTTTGTCCAATGTCCACTCCCAATGTTTTAAGGCCACAAACTAGCTAGTCATTAAAAGCCTATATATAAATTAAAATAATTAGTAATTGAAAATAAATATATAAAAAATAAACCTCTCAAAACCTCGTTTTAGCATAAAAAAGGAGAAAAATTTTCCTCGTCATCATCTTTCCAATAAAAAATTTTTTCTAAAAAATTCTGAAAAAACAATTAAAGATAAGTTTGGTATAATTCGACCAAATCAAAATATTTTTAAAAAAATATTATACTATTCAAAAGTTAAATATTTATGCAGTCTTTGAAGGATATACATATATAAGCAAAAAAATCTTTTTGGTTGAAAAAAATTTTCTCTCAGAAATTCGACTAAAAACTCTCGAATTCTCGACTAAAAATCCTTCGACTAAAAATTCTGAAAAAATATTCAAAAAAAATTTTCTTGGAAATTTTCTCTCAAAAATTTTTTTTTCAAACGCAAAATGGGAATTTTAAAATAAACAAGGGAAAATTATCTAAAATCATTTTACGAGACATGGGGCAAGAAAACAAGGAATAATAAAATATATTTATAATAAAGGGGAAAATTTGGATAATTTTAGAGAATTCATTCCAAAATATAAAATTTGATAGAGAAAAAAATAAGCCAAAATAATAAGCAAAATAATACAATATTTTCATAAGCTTTGGGTTTTTGATAAAATAAATTTGTCAAAAAATTTAAGGAAAAATATCAGATATAGAGAAGCAAAATTTTTGAACTTTTAAGTAAAAAATAAAAAAAAACTTTGATGATTCTGAGCCAAACAAAAGAAATAAATATAATGTCCAATATATCCAAAGAATTTGTATAAACAAAAAATAATTATTTTGGTAAAGGCTTCCTAAGAAATAAATTAACATCGTTGTCACTGAAAATTGGTTGACTCATGTAGTAACTGAAAAATATAAATTTAAAATTGAAAAAAATAAAAAAAAATAAAAATTAATTTAAAAAAATCAAAATTATATTTCTAGCATTAAGAATGGTCTTAAAAAATTATTATGACAACGAAAGGAACCGATGGAGGTCGAACCTTCGATCTTTCGAAGAACCGAATAAAAACAACCCCACGCTCTACCAACTAAACTAACGATGTAAGTAAGAAAAAACCATTTGCAAAACTTAGATAAAAAACAATTCAAGTTTTACAAACTTGAAAAAATAGTAACAAGTTTTACAAAGTTCTAATCTTATACCCTTAAGTTTTACAAATAAACTTGAATTGTTAAACTTTAATTAAACCCTTGTAAACTTGAATAAAATAACAAGTTTTACAAACCAAGTTGTAACTTATCAATAAATAAACTTTAATTTTTTTTTACAATTTGTAATTTCTTTCAAACTTGAATTGTAAAACTTGAATAAAACACACTATTCAAGTTTTACAAATCAAGTTTAAAACCTAGCAATTAAACAAACTTAAATTTTTTTACAATTTGTAATTAACTTGAATTGTAAAACTTGAATTTAATTTAAATAAACCTCTCTCCTAACTCACATAATCAACGCCTCCATAGAATTAAATTTTTTATTTCCAATATTAAATTGTCCACTAGCAGAATCATAATGAATCCAAAAATGTTTGTTTCTTTGGCTATCCCTCAAGGATATAGAAAAATCGCCAGGCATTGATTCACTGTCTCGCACCTTTGAAAAAGAAAATTTTTTTCGATTATAAAAATTTAAAAATACCAAAAAATCTCCTTCACTTCCTCTTTGTTTTAATAATAAATCTGCTTGTTCTCTTGTTATGTGTCCATAATACCTGTGGAAAATTAGGCAAAATTCTTGAAAGATCAAAAAAATTTTTTTTGAAAAATTTCAGAAATTTTTTTTTAATTAAAAAAAATTTTTTTTTCGAAATTTGAATAATTTTTGGAAAAAAGATCAAAAAATTCCTCTAAATTTTTGAAAGATTTAAAAAAATTTTTCAAAAAGTCCAGAATTTTTTTTTAAATTTCAAAAAAAATTTCAAAAAAATTTCCGAAAAATTTTGAAAATTTTCTTGAAAAAATTTTTTTTCAAAAAATTAAAAAAAAACTTTTCAAAAAATACCACGGCTGTCGAGAATATGGCCCACTCAATTGATCAAAATTTGTATTTTGATTATTACTATTCCCAATATAGACACCGCTGCAAGGCTGGGGAGATGATGCAAATGAAGATGGTGAAATTGAAGACTTGTTGTTATTTGGATGTAAATTTTCAAATGCACTTCTTAAAGGGTTTCTTTCGACTATTTCAATATAATTCTTTAAAAATTAATTTTTAAAAAATTTTCAAAAAATTTAACTAAAATGAGTACAACTCAAAAGAAGAACAAATCCAAATATATGTGGGCGGATAAAGGGGCTCAAAATCAAAAATATGTCTGCTCCCTTTTTGTCTTATCTGGCTGTTGCACGCGAGAATTTCCGACTAATGTCACCTATTCCTCCTTAATTCCAAAAAATCCTAACTTATCCGCTCATTTGTCAGATCCACCGATACAACTTTTATACGCAAAAATCTCTCTCTACAAAACCTTTCAGATATTTGGATTTGACTTTCTGGGTTCATCACAAATAAAATCATCAACAAACCGTTGGGACGAGTCCTGTAAAATTTAAAAAATAAACAAAAACTTAAAGAAAAATAAAAACCTGTCTGACCACATTGGTTTCTAGCTAACCACCAATCTGGATCCTTAAAACAATTTTTGTAAAAAAAAAATATTAAAGAAATACATCAATTGGATGTTCCAAAATATCCAGTCTTTCATTCTTCGAAAAAGACAATTCTTGAGAGCTTTGCGCTTCGAAGGAATAGAGGCAAATAACAATCTAAAATTTATAAATTCTTATTTTACTATTAAGTATTTTCAAAAAAAGCAACTAGAAGAGAAAATAGACGTAAATTAGATAGGCAAGCAGTCCAAAAACAAATAGAAAATTTAAGAAACCAGAAAGAATCAAACCCAGAGAACCAGAAAGAATCAAGCCCAGAGCTTGATGAGAGTCGATATCTCTCTTAATTCACCTAAATTCCCAATGAAACACAAACACAATGAGCCCGGAGCAATATAGAGCGGCTCCAAAGGGCTAGACTCTGGAGCCGAAGCCAATCTTTTAAAATGCCCGGAGTCCGAGCTACAAAACGCCCAAGAAACTTATCCGGACTGCAAAAAAATTCCAAACCTCCAAAACTTTTTTTGAAATTTGCTTCAAATGTTCATTTTGTTGTTGTTGTCCTCTCCCAACCTGTTGCTTCTGGTGTCTCTGCCCATTTTTCACACTTTTTTCTTCAATCTCCTCTTCCCTTTCCTCATTTCCACCAATTTCTTCTTCCTTTACATAATTTGAAGGAAACCAACCTTTCCGAAAATTTCCAAATTTTTCTTCACCTTTCCACCAACCATCCGAAGATTTATCCAAAACTACAAGCTTTGTACCTTTCTTAAGTGGAAGTTCGTCTTCTCTTTGAGGCGTATAGTTAAACAAGACGGTTGCCATGGTTAACACATTTTCTCTCTAAAATATTAAAAAAATTTGAAAATTAGAAAAGAAAATTACTCGATCAGACGAAGCAAAGGCTTCAGCATTGTTGTTGTTTTTGTTACTTGCTGAAATTAAAGTGTATATAAAGGTATAAAGAGGTCGAACTCAATAGAAAGCTCAAAGGAACATAACCGAAAGGATGGAGGTATTTCAGAGGCAATTACTCCTCCGGGTCCAACCTAATTTACACAACCCAGTCCAGATGTAGATCCGAATTTCAAGGGCAATTGCTCCTTAAGGTCCCACCTGATTTACACAACCCAGTCCATCACATTATAACTAGGTCGAAGACCAAGTGATCAATTTTGAACGTGACTAGTCAAGCCGGATAATACTCTAAATCAACGGTTATAACTCTGTGATAGACTGACGTGCTCGTTATCCCCAAATAAACACATTGGATAGTGCCCAAAACGGACTTGCCCCGACGCTCGGCAGTGAACCTGCACTTTGTGACGATCCGCCTCGAATATAAAACAGGAGAGTCCCGGTGAATGCCCTATAACCCAAAATTCAAAAATAACAACCTTCTTTCCTGACATAATTACTCGGTACAAATCCAACATCTCCATGCATATTGCGTGCCTTTGAAAGAAAACTTGTATTCAAAAGCAATAAAGCAAAAAAAACCTTCCACCAAAGTTTATTATCATCAATCAATACAAGCCTCTCTCCTTTGACTAATGAAAGTTCCTAAAAAACAAAGACACATTTTAAGAATATTGAAATTAAAAAGAACCTGGTCTTCTTGAGCTTGGTAATCAAATTCAGCTACAATATATTCCTCAGACATTTGATGAATTCGAAGAGAAACCGAACACACGCGAAATTTTAAATAAACAAAGAATGCACTAGAGATCGGAAATTTTGAAAAGCCTGGACCTGTTCCTGGACTCTGGAGTTTGATTTCTTGACCTGGACAGGATCATGGGCCTGTAGTCCAGGAAAAACCCCGGGCTCAGGAAAAACCCAGGAAGGTCAAAAAATGCCTGGACCTGGACGCTGAGTAAGGAAAACCCCAAGCTTTGGTCCAGACCCAGGCCTAACTCTAGAATGCACGACTAATAAGCAAAAATTTCTAGACTTTTTAAAACAAAAGAAATTAAAGTTTATTACAATTTAGCGTTTTAAATTGTTGATTATTCGATATATTCTCTCACGGTTACACTTCGAAAATGAAAATGGTCGTAGAACAATTTGCCAATATCACATTTTGCCAATAAGGCTAAAAATTTACATTTTGTCAACAAACTAGAAGACAAAATGCAAATATTTAGCCTTGTTGGCAAAATATTATATTGGCATAATGAGGTTCAAAATGATCGAGACAAGAGAAAGTGGAAGAAGAGAAGGAAAGAAAAACGAGACTTTTCAACGCGAAGACAAAAATACATTTGAGTACCAATTTATTTTCAAATACTGTACCAGTTGAGTACACCCGGAACACTTGAACTGTTGGGATAATCTACTCAGAAATTAAATTATATTTATCACAAAATTTAATTAATTACAAGATAAAAATAGTAATAAGGGGAGAGATATACACATGTAAATTATTAATCAAAGCATTTAGTTAAAATTGAAAACAGCAATCAGTTATGTGATAAACTTCGCTATAAGACGTCTCACAGGTGTAATAAGAAGAGAGAGATAGAGACGTGTTATCGAGATTCAACCCTACAAGTTTTTTTAGGATTTGCGGATTTGCGTCACATGAGCGTTTAAGCGCCTCCTTAGGGTCCACGATGAGCCTCATTAGGGTCCACGATGAGTGCGGGATCATGGGTTCTAGGGATCCTGTACCGAATCCAGGGATCCTGCCGCTCCTATTCCCGAAATTGGGAATTTTATTTTTATGTCGGCAGGTTCCCTGGTACAGTCAAATCGTTGAGTCGTCCATTGCTCATGGGACGCATGTCCTAAACCAGAGCCAAAAACTTTTTTTGCTGCTGATAAAAGTTATCACATAACCGATCTATATTTATAAAAAATAATCAATTTAATCATTATATCACTTTTTTCCAAAAAATCATTTCTCAATTACAACCCAACTTCATAGCCCTCCCATGCCCTTGTTTACAGCAATCTTCTAACATCCACGGTTTCCCAAAAGAAGCATATTTACATTCATCTAAAGTCCATTTTTTGTTTGCTCTTTTAAATCTTCCTTGTCTTTTTATACGGAAATAATTAAATTTAATTTTATTGAAATTTTCAGAATTTCCATTAAAAATTAAAGAATTGCCAAAATTAATAAAATTAATTAGTGGAATTGAAATTAATAAAAATAAAATTAAAAATAACATTTTAAAATTTTTAGATTTGTTCTAGAAGAAATTTTTAAAAGAAAAATAAATATATGATTTTATTTGGCTTTTTAAACAAGCCAAAAAGCCCAAAAAATATTTGGGCTTTTTACCACATCTAAAAAATAAAATAATAAAATCAAGCGCTAAATATAATTAAAAAAATTTTTTTCTTTTATAAATTAAATGTTGGAAATGATAACTTAAGGAAGGAATTAAAAATATTTGTGGATGTTTTTTGGAAGGGAGAGGGAGGGAGGGGGAGGTAGAGGAGGGAGACACGTTGCTTAAAATATATCTTAAAAATGTTGGGATGAATTGTCATAATAAGAAAATTAGAAAAAAAAGAAAAACAAATTCATGTGTTAACAAAATACGTGGTGGACTCGGTTTGAGAGCAATCGTTTTTAAGAAACATTTAAGAAAATTTTTTGAATAAAAATTAAAATAAAATATATAAACCGCCTGATTTTTAATGGGTGTAAAATAAACATTAAAAATATGAAATAGAGTGATGTGTGGTGAAAAATTAAAATTAAAAATATTATTTTTAAAAATAAAATTGAAAATATTTTTTGAGTATTTATTAAAAATTTTTTGAAAATTTTGAAAAAATAAATTTTAAAAAATTTCCAAAATTTCAAAAAAATTTTTAAGAAATGATCAAAAATTCTGAAAATTTCAAAAAAAATTTTTTGCTAAAAATAATATTTTTTACAGACTTCCTCTCCCAGTTGTTGCATTATTCAGATTATTCTGTTTTAATAAAAATAGTTGCTGGGGTAGACTAGAACGCCGTTGTTGACGCACTTCAGCATAATACCCATCGCGCACATTGGAGAAAATAAACTGCATTAGAAGGGACCAAGCCATTCTAGAAAAATCAGGATTTTTATTTAATATCAGAATTTTTGTGTTTTATAAAAATCAGAATCTTTAGCTATCAGAATTTAAAGAAATCAGAATTCTTTTAAAATCAGAAATTTATAAAAATCAGAATCTTAAAAATCAGAATTTCGAGAAATCAGAATTTTCTAAAATCAGAATTTTAATTTAACAAAAAATCAGAATTTCCGAAAAACAGAATATATAAAAATCAGAATTTTGAGAAATCAGAATTTTCAAAAATCAGAATTTTAATTTAACAAAAAATCAGAATTTACAATGTCTCGCAACGCTTCTGAGCACCCCCATCCTGCCTAACGCATTCAGCTACCATTGCATCAGCAATTGTAGAGAAAAAGTCTGGACGGAATCCAAAAATACAAAATTGGGCAAAAAATTCACCAAACGCAAAAGAATTCGAAGCTACCTTAAATTCATAGGAAATTAAAAAAATTCCTTTTCCCTCCAAACTTTAGAAGGAAAATCCACGTTAGTAACACAATTAACAACTAGCCGAAAAATATTTTCTTCCAATTTATTTGCAGTTTCTTTGGTTAAATTATTAACAAAAATTTTAAGTTCGTTACGAAGAGTAGAAGCTCGTTTCAGAATTTTGTGTCCAATTATGGGTCTATAAAAATTATTTTTAGTCAGACTTAAATATTAGATACCCCTTTGGGGGCTGAAAAAAACGTATCTTATAACAGGGCTCTCATTCGTGCTTTATTTGAAAGTATTATACTTTGAAACCGACCTCCATACTTAAGAAATTGAATTTATACTTTATTGAAAGTATATACTTTAAAATCAACATTTTGGATTGAAAATGAAATTGGGGAAGGGATTGGGCAAAAAAGTGAATTTTTTTAGCCTTGGGCCTTCGAAATTATCAAAATTTTCGCCTGCGGCGCTGAAAAAGAAAGAAATCTGGCTTCTTGGGTGTCTATTAAATAGAAGGTAAGGCGTCTATTAAATAGAAGCTATTGTGCTTCTAATGGCTCCCAGCTTCCTCTCATCTAATGGCCAACCAAATTTAAAAGGGCATATCTTAAAGGGTGTATCCAATTCTGGGAGTGTCCAAAATTGGGGGTATTCAAGAAGGGAGGTAGCTAATTCCGAGGGTATCTACCTCTAAAGGTTTCCAATGCTGGGGGTATTTAATTTTGAGGGTACCTAATAGGAGCATTTAATAGTAGAGACCAAACCCGAGCCGAGATCTCATATAAAGAGACCGAAGAGAAGATCGAAAAGAAGAGACTATGTACGACGCTCCCAGCCCGGTCTCTATTTACTATAGGGGTAAGCAATGAGCTGTGACTGTATAAATGAGAAAAATTTTTAATAAGCCACTTTGCATTCTTGAAACTTTGTTGAATACGTAAACGTGTCAAGGGAGGCATTAAACAAGGATGGGCAACTGAAGCTTTACGGGTATTATTTGGTAAAATTATTTGACTGTCGTTAATAGGCATTTTTGCTGTATTGTGCAAACAGAAATACTTCGTGTTCTGTTTTCGTGATGTTGCTATAAAATAAAATCAGAATTAAAAATCAGAATTTTCAAAAAAGATTCAGAATTAAAAAATCAGAATTCGCATGATCAGAATTTCCATCAGAATTATAAAAATCAGAATCATCACAAAATCAGAATTTTAATAAATCAGAATTTTCGAAATCAGAACTTCAAATCAGAATTTTCTAATCAGAATTTTTAAATCAGAATTTTCAAAAAATCAGAATTTTCAGAATTAAATAAATCAGAATAAAAATAATTTTTCAGGGAACGATGAGGCTTTTTAATAAAAATACTTTTGCTATTGTCTTAAAATAAAACTTTTTTTTTGTAAAAAATATCTCAAGAATAAATTAAGTAATTAAAGATGAGAAGGAATATTGTCATTATTATTAGAAAAGCATCCGGTGGAAAATAAAGTACTTTTTATTGTTAGAAAAAATAGTCACTAGAAGAAAATGAGTAAATAAAGCTTCAAAAAAGGAAAGTTTAGCTTTAGGGGCTAAAATAAAAATAATAAATAAAAATATTAATAACGGAAAAAATCTGAAAAAATTTAGAATTAAATAAAGAAAAATACAAAGAAGAAAAATTAAATTCTGATTTATATAAATTTTAATTATCAGAAATTTTAAAAAATCAGAATTAAAAAATCTGAATTGAAAAAGCAGAATTTTTTAGGAATCAGAATTTTGAAAATCAGAATTTTTTTAAATTTTAATATCAGAATTCTGATTTTTATATTAATAACCAGTTTTAAAAATCAGAATTTAAAAGAAATCAGAATTAAAAAAAATCAGAATTTTTTAAAAATCAGAATTTTGAAAATCAGAACTCTTTTATCTTAAAAACTATAATTAAAATAGAATCAGAAAAATCAGAATCAGAATTAACTATGATTTTTAAAAACCAGAATTATTTTTAATTTAATTTTAAAAAATCAGAATTATTAAAAATAATATTATTTCTCGAAATTTAAAATTAATTAGATTCTGGTTAGATGAATAAAAAGTAAAATTCTTCTTTTAAAATAAAGCGGGGGAGGAGGAAGTAAGGGAGAGGAAAAAATACAAACAAAAATTCTGCAAATAAAACCAGCAAAAAATTTTTAAACAAATTTAAAACAAATTTCCTAAATTTTGTAAAAGTATATAATATTTCTAGGCGGCATCACACGAGTATCAATTTCACTGATGGAGAAAGGAAAAAAGGTAATATCGGGACATAAAAATTGATGCCGGGGTTTTGAGTAAGACTGTTTTTAATGTAGTTTCGAATGAACTATAGTATATCCAAATAAGTCATGTATTCGCGGAGAAAACCCCTCTGAGTCTTCCACGTCCCAAAAAATATTAAAAAATTTTTTTCTAAAATTTTCTCAAATATATAGAGTTACTGTAGAATCCGCTTAGAACAAGTTTTATAGACTGTTTTTAATGTAGTTTCGAATGAGCTATAGTATATCCAAATAAGTCATGTATTCGCGGAGAAACACCCCTCATAGTCTTCCATGTCCCAAAAATATTCAAAAATTTTTTTTTCTAAAATTTTCTCAAATAGATAGAGTTACTGTAGAATCCGCTTAGAACAAGTTTTATAGACTGTTTTTAATGTAGTTTCGAATGAGCTATAGTATATCCAAATAAGTCATGTATTCGCGGAGAAACACCCCTCTGAGTCTTTCATGTCCAAAAAAATATTCAAAAATTTTTTTTCTAAAATTTTCTCAAATAGATAGAGTTACTGTAGAATCCGCTTAGAACAAGTTTTATAGACTGTTTTTAATGTAGTTTCGAATGAGCTATAGTATATCCAAATAAGTCATGTATTCGCGGAGAAACACCCCTCTGAGTCTTTCATGTCCAAAAAAATATTCAAAAATTTTTTTTCTAAAATTTTCTCAAATAGATAGAGTTACTGTAGAATCCGCTTAGAACAAGTTTTATAGACTGTTTTTAATGTAGTTTCGAATGAGCTATAGTATATCCAAATAAGTCATGTATTCGCGGAGAAACACCCCTCTGAGTCTTTCATGTCCCAAAAAATATTCAAAAATTTTTTTTCTAAAATTTTCTCAAATAGATAGAGTTACTGTAGAATCCGCTTAGAACAAGTTTTATAGACTGTTTTTAATGTAGTTTCGAATGAGCTATAGTATATCCAAATAAGTCATGTATTCGCGGAGAAACACCCCTCTGAGTCTTTCATGTCCCAAAAAATATTCAAAAATTTTTTTTCTAAAATTTTCTCAAATAGACAGAGACTGTAAAATCCGCTTAGAACAAGTTTTATAGACTGTTTTTAATGTAGTTTCGAATGAGCTATAGTAAATCCAAATAAGTCATGTATTCGCGGAGAAACACCCCTATGAGTCTTCCATGTCCCAAAAATATTCAAAAATTTTTTTTCTAAAATTTTCTCAAATAGATAGAGTTACTGTAGAATCCGCTTAGAACAAGTTTTATAGACTGTTTTTAATGTAGTTTCGAATGAGCTATAGTATATCCAAATAAGTCATGTATTCGCGGAGAAACATCCCTCTGAGTCTTTCATGTCCAAAAAAATATTCAAAAATTTTTTTTCTAAAATTTTCTCAAATAGATAGAGTTACTGTAGAATCCGCTTAGAACAAGTTTTATAGACTGTTTTTAATGTAGTTTCGAATGAGCTATAGTATATCCAAATAAGTCATGTATTCGCGGAGAAACACCCCTCTGAGTCTTCCATGTCCCAAAAAATATTCAAAAATTTTTTTTCTAAAATTTTCTCAAATAGATAGAGTTACTGTAGAATCCGCTTAGAACAAGTTTTATAGACTGTTTTTAATGTAGTTTCGAATGAGCTATAGTATATCCAAATAAGTCATGTATTCACGGAGAAACACCCCTCTGAGTCTTCCATGTCCCAAAAAATATTCAAAAATTTTTTTCTAAAATTTCTCAAATATATAGAGTTACTGTAGAATCCGCTTAGAACAAGTTTTATAGACTGTTTTTAATGTAGTTTCGAATGAGCTATAGTATATCCAA